CCTCCATGGCCCTTGCCCAGCTCCAGCTGAAACTGGCCCTTCCCCTCGAGCCCCTGGAGTGGATGGATTGTCCTGAAGGGTGGGGCTGGGCAGTGTCAGAAGCCCCCCCCACCCAAATGTTGCGGACAACCCTTCCCTATTTCTGGGGGCCCCCTTCTGTCCCAGCCTGGGGACAGGGAGAGGGCATGAGGCAGAGACCCAGAGAGAGAGAGAGAGAGAGAGCGAGCAGAGGGCTGGAGGGTGAGACCCAGCGGTGGGCAGAGACAGGGAGAGACACAGAGACATGGAGGCAAGAGAGAGAGGGAGACAGAGACAAAATCACAGTCACAGAGAGATACACAGCAGGGCCAGTTACAGAGCGACAGAGACAGGACCGAGGAAGACAGAGAGACAGTGAAATGGGGAGAGACAGAGACAGACTCAGGCAGCCATGGTGCGGGGAGGTGAGGGACTTCCCTGGCGTCACCCAGGCCCAGCCCTGCCCCTCTCCTTGGGACCCTGGACCACGACCTTCCCTTTCTGCCTTACGTCCCCCCCAGCCTCCCCTGAGGTCATCCCAGGGGACAGTGCTGGCTACCCCATCACGTGGAGGCACAGACATCCCCTCCCGAGACACCCTCGCCCTACTCACTTGCCGATGCAGTGGGCAGCCGTGAGCACCCACTGGGGGTGAATCAGCACGCCGCCGCACTGCAACTCGTGGTAATGGTAGAGGGCCACCTGCCAGGGGTGGGAACCCTTCTCACACTCCCAGCCTCCTATGATCCGGGACTGGATGGCGGGTGCAGCGGGTGCAGCGCCTGTGGGGAGAGCACTGAGTCAGGGCACAGGACCAGGAGAGGGAGCCGTGCATGGGGTGGAGGAGCGGGGGCTGAGGACGTGGGCAAGGGGTGTTGGGAAGGGCCCAGCCGTCTGAAGACTCTGAGCCTGTGGGCTGGCGGCTTGTCCTGGGTGGGGAGACTTTCTGTGGACAGCAGAGCAGACCCCAGGGATCAGGATAGGAGACAACCGGGTGGGTGGGTGGGGGCATCTGGAGCGAATGTCGGATGTGGCAGATGGGCTTGTGGGGTAGCTTGGGGTGTTGGACTGGGAAACAAGAGGCTGTGGGTTCTGAGAAGGGACACCAGGTGAAAGGCCTCAAAAGATCAGCTCAGAGGCTGAGGGGAAAAGAGTTGAAGGGTTAAGTGGCTTCCAAGCTGACAAAATGGTTAGGGCCTTTTTGAGGGTTGGGCTCTTGGGGGTTCTGGAAAGGATGCGGATTTGGGGAATCAGGTCTGAGAGGCTAAGGGCACCTGGGGAATTTAGGGTGATTGGAGTTCCTGGTTGGGGCTGGAAGAGGTGGGAGAATTCAAGGTCACAGGCCAAAGAGTGAAAACCAGCATCAGCCTCTTGGGTCTGGGGTCCTGGGAACCAGGGATGACATTCTAAGAGGGGTGGGGACCCTGGGACAGCGTTGGGGTCAGAACTGGGAGGGGGTGTGTAGAGGAAGGAGAGCTGGTGCTAGTCCTTCTGGGGTCAGGTGACCCTGTGGGGATGGGGAACCCGGGCATCGGGCATCTCTGGTCTGGAGAAAGAGGCAGGCCAGGGCCCAAGCAGCTGTGGGAACGCCGGAAGGGCCCACCAGTGGGGCTTCTGAATCCCACGTTGGGGAACCTGAGGGAGGTAGGGTGGGGCAGCTGGGCTGGGAAGGGGTCTGGGATCCTGGGGAGGGCAGTCGTCCCAGAAAAGCAGAGCTGTACAGGGAGGATGCGGGAGGAGAGGGGCTGGAGCTGGAGGGAGGCTGGGAATTCCACAAGGAAAGGAAGGAGCCTGTTCTTCCTGGAGGAGAAGGCTGGGTGCAGCATGGGAGTCCCAGGGGAGAATGAGACATTCCCAGAGCCCCCATACCAGGATGGACTGGAAAGCCTGTTTTGGAAGAAGCAAAGGCATCAGATGCAATTTGGAGGGTCCTGGGATTCGGGGTGGGGGGCAGATGCCAGGGCCTGGAAGACCTGGTTGAGAGCTGACAGCTGGGTGGAAGAGACCTCCAGGGAGAGGCGGGACCTGGGGATGCAGGGGCCAGACCACTGGGTCACAGAGACCTGGGGGTGAGAGGGGGTGATCGGGGTCCCAGGGTCTGGTGGGGCTGGGGGCTCACTGGAAGGGGTGGAGTCCCCCAAAGAGAGAGGATGAGATGGCCCAGGCTGCTCTCTTGGCAAAGGGGATGGGGGCAGGATCTGAGTGAGGGAGAGTAAAACATTCTGGGGGTTACTGGGAGGAGCAGGGCCTGGTTCAAGAGTGAGGACGATGGGGAGGGTGAGAAGGATGATGGGCTGGGGTGGGATTTAGGGGTGGGGGTGGGAAAGATTGGAAAGAGCCTGGTGCCCTGGTCTGGGGTGGACTGTGGGTTGCAGGGGTGCAGGCCGGGGTGCTGGGTGCAAGGGAAAGGATATTATATTATATTGGGTGGGTGGGGGGATGAAGGCTGCAAGACAGCCAGGGCCAGCTCCCCTCCCACATCTTCCCTGCTGTCTTACCAGTCCCTGCCAGGGACAGGGCAAGGCACAGGACCAGGAACCACATGGTGGCAGAGGTGTCCAGGGGTAGGCAGGTGGTGAACCAGCAGCTGAAGAACCTCCCTGAGACGCTTTTAAAAGCCTTCATCCCCCTGGGGCCCCTCCCCTGCCTTGCTGGCACCTTGAGGCTAGCCAAGGCCCTGCCCCCGCTGCCTGGGGGCTGGACACCTCCTCCCGCCTCAGAGCTGTGGAAGGGACATGAGAATAAGCACCTGTTGTTCTGTAGGCCCTGGATTGGGCTGGAAGTCTTCCTGGGGCCGAGGCCAGCCAGGGCAGGGCCGGCAGCTCCTGGGGCCTTGGTCTCAGGGACAGAGCCAGTGAGGGTAGGTGAGGCAGTGAATGGGGACAGATATAGGAAAGTAGGGGAGTCACTGACCTCCCCCAATACAAAGTACCACATTCCTGAACCCCACGTAAGGCCACTTACCCCAAGACGCAGTGTACCCTCCAATACCAACAGTAGGGCTCTGGTTCCCTTCTCCCCGCATTGCTCGGAGCCAAGATGCCAGCTTCTCAGCTTCCAGATCCTCCTGAAATGTAAGCTGTGGCTTGCAGAACGCCCTGGTTCTTGCATTCCCAGGCTCAGGAGGTAGATCTCCAAATCTGTTGTCCCTCTCATAATAAAATCTTAGAGTATGCATTACAATTCTAGCTCCCCCAGATCCAAGAATATGAAGTTTCAGTAGTGCAAGGCAGGAGGTCGAGCCCGGGGATCTCGATGGCTTGTTCAGATGAACCAGAAAAAAACAAACAAAAAACAAAACCAAAACCCACCAAAAGGACTGGATGAAGCCGACATAGCCTTTGTTACTCCCAGTACAGGGAGCCCTGACAGACAGCAGATCAGTGAGGCAGGACTACACCTCCCGGAGCTGAGACTTGGGGTCCCAGACCAAGGGGACCTGTGCCTAGCATGTGACTCTGAACTCTGCTCCCTCAGTGTGCATGTGCAGAAACAAACACCAAGAAGCAGTCACACGGGACAAGAAGCTACTCCCCAAAGGAGATAAGGCGGAACGACCATCCATTTCCAAAGCTGTACACATTTCCTCTGGCCAGGGGCCCTCTGTCCAACCTTCCAGGACAAGTGTTGGAAAGGCAGTGTCCAGCATGACCCCATAAGTGGTCTCCTTGAATATGTTCCCTAGCATTTCAAAGTCCATTGTTCTCCCAAGCAATGCTGGGATCCCATCACCCAGTCCCGGACTCCTTGTTCCCCAGATCTGGATGTTCAGGCTTAGGTCCTCCAAAGTCCCGGGAATCCCAGACTACCTGCCTCCCAAGAGCATCCTCATCGCGAATTCCAATCTCCCCTCCCCCAACACAAGATTTCAGTTTCAGGGGCCAGGTTTCAGTGCTTTGACATTCAGTGACCTTGCGAATCACATTTTGGGGGTCTCTGAAGAGAATCGAAAAGTAGATTCTGGCAGCCTCCATGGTAAACCCATGGGCTTCTGACATGTTCCCTTGGCTCTTTAGAAAAATCAAAGCAGCGGACAGGATCCCAGTCTCTGCTGTAGGTTAGTCTCTGCCTAAGGAAAGGGGAGTATTTTTGCCAAGGCTACCAGGAAGTTCCAAATTAAACCTTGAAGACAGTGAAGTCGTTCTTTCTTTCTTTTTTTTTAAAAAGATTTTATTTATTTATTTTTAGAGAGAGGGGAAGGGAGGGAGAAAGAGAGGGAGAGAATCATCAGTGTGTGGTTGTCCCTCGCGCACCCCCTACTGGGGACCTGACCCCATAGCCCAGACATGTGCCCCAACTGGGAACTGAACCGGCAGCCCTTTGATTCAAAGGCTGGCACTCAATCCGCTGAGCTATACCAGCCAGGGCAGAAATGAGGTCATTCTCGATCATCGAGTGTGTGCTGGGTTCTTTCACTGGGGCTCAGAGATCTAAAGTATTTTCCCAGTGCTAGGCCCTATTTGAGTCAGTTCGTGTGAATTTCCTTGTTTAACCCTGATAACCCCATGAGGTGAGCAATATGAGGATCACTCTTTCACAGCAGGGGAGGCTGAGGCTGAGCAAGGTGGAGTCTTTTGCTCGAGAGCACACAGCTAGTTCCCCGTGTGAGTGAACAGAGCCCCGCTTCCTGCCGTTTCTCCTCGATGGGGGAGTGGGGCAGTGGGTGAAAAGGAACAGCGTGCATGGGACCTGGGTTCCCCACCAAGTCGCTGCTCCCCACTTCCCATCACCGCCAGGAGAAAGTCCCAGAAACTTCTATGCACAAACTTGCATCAGTGCTGTGAACTCGATGTTAGACAGGTGACCTTGAGCACCAGCTCTCACCACAACTTCTTGGCTGACATCTGGACAAATGGGGTCTTGGCTTGATTCTGCTCCAGGCTGGCATGGTGTGGCCTGGGCAGTTTCTGCTCAGTGTGGGTGTGAGGATTGCAGGTGAGTGGGGGGGGACGATGGGTGGGGGCGGGGGCGGGGCACCGCAGTCAGTTCCTCTTGGTGGTGTCCCTGATCCACTGCAAGTAGCTGCACACTTTGGTGTAGACACCAGGCTTGGCGGTACTGTCACAAGGGACATCCCCCCAGGACACAATGCCCTGTAGGACGCCTCCACAGACCAGGGGTCCCCCGGAGTCTCCCTGCCGCAGGGAAGAGGAAGCTTGAGTGAGAACCTTCGGAAGCAGCGTCCTGGTCCCAGTCCTAATCACTCACTGGTCAGGATCTCAATAAAAATCCAACCCCACCCCATCGCAACTCAATACAACCCAGGGTAACCCAAGCTGGCCTGACCCTGGCCCAGCACAGCTTAACAGGCTCACCCAGTCCTTGAGCAAGCCCACCTCACCCCCAACCCCCACGCCTTCCCCATTCAGAATCAAACCAGGCCCACACCCGTCCTCACTTCCAACCCAACCCCCTTGCCATGTCTTTTGGACCCCAAATAAAGTTGACCCACTCCCCAATTCAACCTCGACCTGTTTCCCATCTAAAGCCAAAACAAACCCGTTCCCATTCTCAACTCCAGCCTTGGCCACCCCACCCCAAACCCAACCCAAACTCACCACCGCAGCTGACTCCAACCTCACCCCCATTCTACCTGCTCTTCCTTCTCCATCCACAGGCCTATCCCTAGGGTCTCCTCTGGCCCAGAGCCAGCCAGACCCAGCCGCGTCTCAACTCTCAAACCTGTCCCCCTTCCTCACTCCCCAGGGCGTGGCCCCCTCTCCGGGCCTGACCTCGCAGGAGTTGGTGCCTCCGCCTCGCACGCCTGCGCACACCATGGTGTTCCTCAGGTGCCCCGGATAGTCCTTGCTGCAAGATTCCGCCGAGATAATGCTGATGTTGGCACAGTGCAACGCATCTGGGAGGTTCACTGGGGAGGACGGTGAACTTGGAGTGAATCCATAGGTTCTCAGGCCCTGGAGGGGCCTCCGCCCCAGAGCCCTGGAGGGATAGGGTCCCTAAAGGTCCAGCTCCATCCTTTCACGCACCTGGTGACTGTCGGCTTCCTATGGTCCCAGGCTCAATGTCAGACACCAGGCCCCAGCCGGACACCACGCAGGACTCGCCGGTCTGGGGGCAGCGCTTGGGCAGCGACACGGGGCGCACTTGCCGGGAGAGGCGCGCAGGCCGTCGTAGACGCACCAGCATGAGGTCGTGGAGATGGGTGCGTGCTTCGTAGCGCGGGTGTGGGACGAGGCGAGACACAGTCCGCAGCTGCTCTGCGCCGTCGCGCTTGCGCAGATTGTGCTCGCCCAGGCGCACCCTCATGTTGCTGCGTGGTGCCAGCAAAGAAGCAGAGGGCGGAGTAGACAGAAAAATCAGAGAGCAGACAGCCTGGGGCCCCTAACCTCCCTGGGAATCCGGATATGCCCTTACTCTCTCCCCAAAGCCCCAAAGCCCAGAGTTCCAGCCCTCTTCTCCCCCCACCCGCAGACTGGGACCAAAGGGTCCACAATCACTCGCACACCTGGACCTCAATCCTCAGGCTCCAGATCTTTCTTCCTGAGCCCAAGATTCTCAAATCCCTAGACCCGGCCCGCCGTGCCCCTGGAGGACCCTGAGCCCGGCCTTCATACCGCGTTTGGCAGTGGGCTGCAGACAGCACCCAGTATGGGGAAATGAGGGAAGCGCCACAGTTAAAACGTCCACGTTCAAAGAGGGCCACTTGCCAAGGCTGGGAGTGGGGCACGCACTCCTCACCTCCCTCGGACGGGTCGCTGCCGCCATCCTGGGCCGCTGGGGGAGGAGACAGAAGGGGCATCTCTGAGGACAGAGTCCTTTTCATTGCGCCCTACACCTTCCTTGCACCTTGCTCTCACTATGCATTTTCCCCCCGTGCCTCCCCCACAACTTCCTAAGGTGTCTCTGCTGTTGATTTGTAAGCATTGCCTTCTCTCTAGCTTTTACAGCTTTTGCTTATTGTCTTCAGAACTCTTCCTCTGTCCCTGGTCCCCACCCACTTACCACAGGACTCTGGGGGAGAGAGAGAGAGAGGACAAGGAAGGGGCCAGAGGGCAAGCAGTCCTCTGTGACTGAGAGTGGAGACAAGGACGGTGGATACAGTCCAGCCATTCAAGGTCACTGAGCTGTCACAGACATCAAATGGATGTGGCCGCTCGCTCTGCATGACACACAGTCTTGGCTCCGGAGTCTGGCCATCTCAGCCAAATGCAGTGTGTCATACATACAGGGGCACAGGCTTGACCACACAAGGTCATCGGCATGCGAACAGGCACAACTGGTCTTCCAGACGTTGGAGCTGATAGGGACAGCGCTGGAAATGGAACTCACTTGTGCGCACATAGGTTGCAGTTTCAGGAATCACCACAGCACAGGGGGTCATATGTGTGTGAATGTGGACAGTTAAGACACGGGTGTGTGTGTGCACCCACGCACATTCACAGATACAGATTTGCACATAGAAGCTCAGACCTAAATTTCCATCCTTAGGGTGGGTCTGTACACACTAGGTCACAGGTGTTCACAGTTGCACATGGGGTCTGGATGTACAAGGTGGGGTCTTTAGTAAAGGTACATGTGAATCCCTGGCTGGTGTGACTCAGTGGATTGAGCACCGGCCTGCAAACCAAAGGGTCACCAGTTCGATTCCCAGTCAGGGCACAGGTCTGGGTTGTGGGCCAGGCCCCAGCAGGGGGCACACAAGAGGCAACCATATACTGAAGTTTCTCTCCCTCTCTTTCTCCCTCCCTTCTCCATCCTTTAAAAATAAATAAATAAAGTCTAAAAAAAAATAAAGGTACATGTGAAGAGATGTTACTATGTACTCAGGCCCCCCAAAATGTGTCCACAGACATGGGGTTTATAGTATCGAGGTTAAATTTAGAATGATAACGTAACCCTTCCCCACCGGTTCCAAACATATCTGGGAGACTCTGAGCTAACTATTGGACCTTTCTGTGCCTCTGTTTCCTCATCTGTAAGATGGGATTTTTGTAGGGATTAAATAGGTAGGGGTGTGTGTGTGATGCCTGACATATTGTGACTACTTAATAAATATTGGTTATTTTAAACAAAGGACTCATGTTTATTTATGCAGACATGACACATGGATGTTCAGGTTGGGGACACAAACTTAGCCAATGTAAGTCAGATGTATGACCAGACCCAGATAAAGATAGTCAAGGTCAAAGCTGACTCATACCCAAGCCACTCTGTGGAGGTTCACAGGACCAACACTCAGGTGTGGACCAGCTAGATCAGACCCCAGGGCAACATCTGGACACAGGTCTGGGCATTCAAGGTCAAGGACATATAGCTGGAGACACAGGCAACCAGGACAGGACATATTTATCCATGGCTAGATCAGCTCCCAAGTCAGTTGCTTGGTGATCAAGGTCACTCACTCATCAGGGTTGACATGTGGGTACCTGGATCACACATGTGAACAGGATGCAGCCCCCCATGAGTGGTACCACGAATAAGGACATCAACAGGGATGTTTCAAGATCATGAGACAGTGCCCCACTACACTGGGCAACATTGATATGTCTCCTCAAGGTCACAGCCAAGCATTCAGTCACCTCCACGCTTGGTCAGGATTTGCACAGCCAAGACCAAGTGCCCACGCTCTGCCCGCTAGGGTTAGGAACTGGGCCAAGGGCCCTGGTAAGGCGGAGGGAACTTGGATGAGGTGGACAAGGGGTTTAACAAGGGAAGGGTGGGGTCGTCCTTTGGAGAAGGGCAGAGGGTTCGGGCTGAACAATTGGGCACCGAGGCCGCAACTGGCCAGTCCAAGCCGGAGGAGGGAGGAGGCCTCCGCTGGGTGCAGCAGGCAGGCGGGGGACTGGAAGGAGAAAGCAGGGACAGAGCCCAGGGGGACGCTGGTAGAGGGGGTGGGGCAAGGTTGGAGGGGCCCCCAGGGGTGAGGGAGGGCCCTGTGTATGTGGGAGTCAGTGGAAGTCCACCCTCCACTCCTCCAGGGTAGAGGCATCGAGTTACAATGAATTTCTCCATGGGTGGTGGATGAACCCTGTCTGGAGTTCTCCTGCTGCCTAGGGTCACCTTGGCCCAGTGGCCACCCCTCTCCGAGCCACAGTCCACCTCCCACCACACAGAGATGTTCCCTGGCACAGATGAGCCTTCCCAGCTCGGCCAGGCACTGAGTGCTCAGCAAAGCTAGCAACCAACCCTTTCAGGGCCCTCCCCTGGGCCAGGCGCTGGGACAGCTGGGGAGCCTGTCACAGAGATGTCCAGTAACTAGAAAGTGCCAGGGTCCACAGGGGCCATTCTTCAAAGTTGCACAGCAAGAGAAGGGCAGTGCTGGACCTCAAACCCAGGTCTGTGTCTCCTCTACCCCCCACGTAGCGTGGGGACCCTCGACAGTGGCAGGGGTGGAGTGAGGACTCAGAGATGTTGGCAGCTGGCTGTGGCAGGACGGGGTGAGGGCAGAATCATCTGAATGTCTCTGGGTGAGGGAGGGGCTGGCAGGCTGCAGAACCTGGGTATGCTCAGGATGGGGGTGCTTGAGGGGGCTCTCCCCCTCCCACAGACCCCCACCTGACCTGGGCCCACCTCACCTGCCAACCTCAGCAAGAAAGCAAAGACGAGAAGCCACATCGCGGAGGAGGGACCAGGGCTGTGCCGAAGTCTGGGGAGAGAGTAAACTGGGGTGAGGCTGGACCCTCTGCCCCCGCCCCCGCCCCCATCTGGACCCCTGCAGACACAAAGTCATCTCCCCTGCTGCTGGAGAAACTTCTCACCATCCTCAATCTTCACACCCACCCTCAGCCGCCTTCTCTTCCTCCCGGGTTTCCCATCTCCAAAGGGTCTGCTGTTCCTCCAGGCACCGGGACAGACCCCTAGGTGACCCAAGAGTCTCTCAGACCCCAGCACCATTCCACCTGCCCCTGCATCGCTCTCCAACTTTATGGTCCTGGCTCAGGACATAATCGCCGTAGACCCTAAACCAGTCTCCTAGGCAGCCTCTTGGCTCCTCTGCCCCGCCCCCTCCCCACAGGCCACCCCTTCACTCCAGTTTCCGGCCTACCTGACCTCACAGGGTCTTTCTACACCTGGAGTTCGCCACGCCCCGCTCCTGCTCACAGCCCTGGTGCGTGGTAGTGCTCCCAGAATAAAGTCCCAGCCCCCAGCCACGCTTTAGAGGACAGCAGTGACTTCTCCACCTCCCAGCCTGTCTGGCTGGGTCTCTCACGACACAGCCTTCCTGATTCTTCCATTTCTCCTTCCTGAGATTTCATGCCTCCACGCCTTTGTGTGGGCTGTTCTCGCTTCCCAATAAGCCATTCCCTTCAAGGTCCACTGCCTCCTTTTGGCCTTTTCTGACCTCCCCTGGCCGCCGTGGGGTCTGTCTGTCCTCCCAGATGGAGAACTCCCCGAGGGGATCTCCAGGGCTGTTGGTAACCTTCCAAATTCATCCTCCAAATCTGAGGCTCAGCTCGCACCACTTCTGGAAGGCCTCACTTCCTAGCAGGGATCTCTTCTGGATCTCACAGTGCTTGTTCTGCCTCCATCACAGCCCAGATCCCTAGGAACGCTCAGGTTGGGTTGTCCCTGTGTCCCCTGCACTGCCCAGCCCGAGGCCTGGTACAGGACACGCCTCAGGGAGTTGTGCTGAGCTGACCTGAACCTGCGCTATTCTTGCTGTGGGTAGAAGCGCTTTCAGGGAGATCCCCCTGATTCCCTCCCTCCCCTCACCCCCTGCAGCTCCTTCTTGCACCTTTCTGGGTTGGGGTTCAACTCGAAGTTCCACGAAAGGACACATGGACTTACTCAGATGCCCTTGACATCTAAGTCCCTCAGAGTGGCCCATGTATCCCCCTCAGGGCAGACTGTGTCTCCCTTCAACCCCCTCCCCCTACTCCCGTCCCAAAGATCTCACCCCCTCCAGATTTCTCCAGCAGCATCGGGGGCAGCTTGGATGCCAGAAGAAGGGGAGCAGGCACCTGAATGCCTGAATTTATAAGCTTCCAGCCCCACCCGGGTCTGGGGAGGTTGAGTAAGGTGGGGTGGGAGGTGGCTGGCAGTCAGCTTTACAGGCTGGACGCCTAGGTGGCTGGTGGGGTGGGAGATGAGACCTAATAAACATTTATTAGGCTGAAACTTCTGTCTGAGTCTACCAGGAGGAATTCCCTGGCAGTTTCTCAAGGTGGAGGAGGTGCTAGTGCAAGAGTTGAAAGATTGGAGATCAAAATACACAGCCAGGATTCTGGAGCCTATAATGTGGAACTGGGGTCTGCCGTGTAGAAACTCGATTCTAGAGTCACACTTCTTCTTGTGCCTGGAGTAGGGTTCTAGATCTTGGAACTGGACCCGGACCTGGAGTCCCAGCTCTGGATCCCTGAGTCTGAATTCTGAGCCCTCAGTTCTGGATTCTGGATCTTTGATTCCTGATGCCAGATTCTGAATCTAGATCTCCAAATCTGGGTCTTGGGTTTTGGGTCCAGATGCCCAATTCTGGACCTCGAAGTCCAGACCTCTCAGTTCTGGGTTCTGGATCTCAGATTCTGAATCTGGATCTCTGGTTCTGGGTTCTGGATCCAGGTCTCTGGATTCTGGGGCTTTTATTTTGGTTCTCCCATTTTGGGTTCTGAATTTGAGGCTCTAGAACTGGGGATTCATGACCCAAAATCTAGAGTATGAGTATTGGGGTAATCTGTGTCCTGGCGTTTGGGGCTGGAGTCTGGATTCTGGATTCGGGTCTCAGAGTGACGATTCTCAGACTTGGATTCGAGATCCTGAGCCTTTGAATCTAGCACCCAAACTAGAAGCCTGGACTCTGGCATCTGCAGTCTAACACTGGAGGTTAGAAACCTTCACACTTGCTGGGTGAAGACTGGGTCCTGGAGTATGAATGGTAGGTTTTGGATTTTGAGGTCTGGAGCCTGGGTCCTAGAGTCCAGGTCTCGATTCTGAGATTTCATCGGTTGACTCTGGAGTGCACAGTCTGGAGTTTCAAACCTGCATGGTCTGTTTAAGGGGCTGGACGTGGGCCAGGCTGCCATAATTCCTGGACTCCTAGAATCTTGACTCAAGAGTATGACTTGAACGACTGGGAGGCTGGAGTCTTGGTTCTGGGTTTTGAGGCTTGAAGTCTGGATTCTGCTTTCAGGAGACTGGAGGTCATCAGGAAGATGACCCAAGGCTTTGGGAATTTGGAGTTGTCTTACAGTGCCTCAGAACCCCAGAGGGCCCTGAGCAATTGTCCAGAGTCTCTCCTGGCTTGTTTAACTAATAAGAAGGCAGAGAGCAGGAGGGACTGACCTCACATCACCCAGGGAAGGGCAGGACCTGTTGTAGGCATGGTCCCACCTCATGTCCGGAAAGCCATTACCTTTGTCGGAAGGGGCTGCCAGAGGGGGCTGGCTGTTCAGGAGATCAGTGGCCACTGTCTAGGGGCCCTGGCCCTAAATACCCTCACAGATAATATGGCAGAACAATGGTCTCACACCCAAAGTCCTCTGGCCAGCTTACTGGAAGGGCGCCCTGCCCTCCCCGCGCCCCCCCACCCCCCCGCCCTGCAGTGTCGTCCATGTCCCAACTCCCTCCCACTGTGGTGAGTCCAACCCGGGTGATCAGTGTCCTCCTGGGCATCTCTCCCCTTATGTCCTTCACCTTAACCACACCCCGAGTCCCACTCTCTGCCCTGCTCCTCCTCCTCTGCGGAGTCTTGTATCAGCTTCTGTGGTTCAACCACCAACCACACAGGTCTCCTCCGTTTGACCCTGAACTCCTGCCTAGGGCAGCTTCCCACTCCTGGGAGGTCCCGCTCCCTCACTGTGTCCTAACTCATTTCTCTGTTTCCCCCAAGTTTCCTCCTCCCATGTTTCCCCTCTTAGGCACAGCCCTACCGTCCACCTAGTCATGTGGCCACCTCCACTCGGGACACCCTGTCCCCCCTCACCCCTACAGCTCAAAGGTCTGTAGCGGCTGTCCTTCCTGTTCTTGCCTCTCTCTGCCTCGTTCTCTCTTCTCTGTCGCCGCGGCCTGGCTGCAGCTCAGGCACCCTCCTATGCCCCGGAACACTCACCCCAGCCTCCTCCCTGGCCTCCCACCTTCCAGTCTGCTCCCTCCACCCACCACCAGGTAGCCCCAGAGGGCTGTCTGCACTCGAAGCTGACCCCGCCCTTCCCTGCCCACAGCCCTTCTTTGAGACTCCTCACCACCCCTGGACAGGCCCCCACTCTCAGCCTGGCATTTGAGGTCTTTTGAGATCCCCCTGCCTGAACAAGCTGTATCTCGCCCTGGCTGGTGTGGCTCAGCGGGTTGGAGCATCGTCCTGTCAACCAAAAGGTCGCGGATTCAGTTCCCGGCCAGGGCACGTGCCTGAGTTGTGGAGTCTTTCCCTGGTGGTCAGAGCGCATGCCAGAGGCAACCAATCGATGTTTTTGTTTCAGATGTTTATCTCCTGCTCTCTCTTCCTTCCTTCTCCTCTCTCTAAAATCAAGAAGCATGTCCTTGGGTGAGGATGAAAAAAGAACACGCCTTATCTTGAACCTCCTCCCTTCCTCTCTTTTCTGGAGGGAACTGGGGGCCTAGACTCCTGGGTCCCAGAAAACAGAGGGGAGGAGCCTCTCTCCTCCCCCGTTTCCGGCCTACTCTGGTATCCAGACCACCTCTGGTCTGTGAACCTGGAACTTCTGCCAACATCTTGTTTGTCTGCACCGAGTCCCAAAAGAGCAAAGATGTCGTGCTGTGCGAGGGGCACTGAGGGCCTGCGCAGCTGGCGGCAGTGCTGAGCTCCAGCTGGATAGAGTCAGACTCGTGTGCTCACAGGCTCCCCCTGGCGTCTGTGTGGGGCAGACCGCAGAGGCGCAGAGGCTCAAGGAGGCAGAGGTCCTTGGGACAATGGATGATGACATGTGGCCAATGCTCTGCACGGAGCGCTGAGCAGAAGCTGGAAGTGCACACCAAGGACACACCTTCAGAACACCACACCTCCAAACCGAGCTGTATCAGTCAGGGTCTCCAGAAGACTATATCATGTGAACATGGGCTCGGTATGGCACTCCATTTGCTGGGATGTGAGCTAGTGCGCTTTCTCTCTCTCTCTCTCTCTCTCTCTCTCCCCCCCCCCTTCCTCCCTTCCTTCCTTCCTTTTTAAAAAAGATTTTATTTATTTATTTATTTTTACACAGAGGGGAAGGGAGGAAGGGAAAGAAACATCAATGTGTGGTTGCCTCTCGCGTGCTCCTTACTGGGGACCTGGCCTGCAACCCAGGCTTGTGCCCTGACTGGGAATCGAACTGGCAACTCTGTTTCCCAGACTGGCGCTCAATCCACTCAGCCACGCCAGTCAGGACTGGGATGTGAGTTTCTTGATTAGAAGTGTTACTGGCAAGACCTCAGTTCTTGTCTGTTTGAAGGAAAGATTTCTGTCAAGAGGCAAATTGCAGTACAACATGCAAGAATGTATGGGCTGCAGCAAAGCACACACAGATGGGATGTTTTTTAAGGCTGGAGACAGTGAAATGCGGAAGGACTTGGGATAGAAGAAGCAACAGGAGAGAGAGCCCAGGTTGGGCTACCTTAGCCCACCTGGAAATCAGAGAAAAGAGGGTCTCGGAGACAGGGTCAGGGTCTGCAAGCTGGAACTTGTGTAGACCACTTCCAGTTGGGTGATGTTCTGGGTCAGACAATGCTCAGTTCATACTGGGCAGCTCGAGTTCCACGGTAGCCTGGTGGCCCATGGTTACGAGAGGGGACTCAAGAGTTGGAAAATTCCAGTTTCAGGTAAATAGTAATAAGTCTAGTAGGTAGTGCATTTGTTAAGGCTATTGTTTCAGGAACTGCAGGTGTGTCTCACCACTCCCAGAAGAAGATAGCTGACCACCTGGGGCACAGCTGGAGACATCCGAGCCATTGTGTTCTGGGGAGAGACACCAGACACCCACCAGCTTGGGGACAGCTACCTGCTCAGGGCGAGAATACCTCAGTTTTTTAATCTATTTTCTCCTGAATTTCAAAACCACTCTCTGCACCTTGTTTTCTGTTAAAAAAAAAAAGGCTGGCTTGGAAGGTAGTGTAAGATGGTCCATTAGGGTGCCGGTCTTCTCAAATTGCCGGTCATCTGAATAAAGTTCCCATAACGATTCCATCCCTGTCTCTGCTTATTGAGTTCGGTATGTGACAGGCAGCACGAACCCCCGTCTTTTCCGGTTTCAGT